TAGGTGTAAATGTGAAAGTTAAATCAAGCTTTCATAAGAAAACATAGAATATCTTCATGACGTTGGCAAGGCAAAGATTCTTAAACAACACACAAAAAGCAATAACCAGAACACATGGATAAATTGGACTTAATTAAAATTAATTATTTCTGTTCCTGTTGGTGCAGTGGTTAAGAGCTACAGCTGCTAACCAAAAGGTCAGCAGTTTGAATCCCCCAGCCACTCCTTGGAAATTCTATGGGGCCGTTCTACTGTCCTATAGGGTTGCTATGAATCGGAATCGATGGCAACGGGTTTTGTTTGTTTTTTTTTTAAACGGGTTCATTAAAAGACCAATCCATACACTAGGAGGAGATATTCACAATTCATATATCCTACAAAGGACTCATCAGAATATAAACAAAAAACAACAAAATTATGAATCCATAAGAAAAAGACAGGCAGACTAATTTTAAAATGGGCAAAAGACTTGAACAGGCCCTTCAAAAAAGAGGATAAGCAGTGAGTAAGCATAGGAAAAGGTGCCCAACGTAGTCATCTGAAAAATGCAAATGTAACCACATAAAATACCGCTACACACTCACTGAATGGCTAAAATTAAAAGGACTGACAACACCAACTACTGTAAAGGATGCAGAGCAATCGAAGCTCTCGTACATTGCTGGTGGAGTTTAAATGATACAACTACTTTGGAAAACTGTTTGACAGTATCTACTATAACCTGTGACCCAGCAATTCCACTCCTGGGTATTTACCAAGGAGTATACCAAGGGGAAGCAGCCCTAGTTAAGCAATGGTTAAGCACTAACCTGCTAACCGGAAGGTCAGCAGTTCGAACCCACCAGCTGCTCCATGGGAGAGACGTGGCAGTCTGCATCTGTAAAGATTTACAGCCTTGGAAACGGGCAGTTCTACCCTGTCCTATAGGGTCACTATGAGTTGGAATCAACTTGATGGCAATGGGTTTGGTTTTTGGTTTTATATCAAGAGGAATGGGTGCATGTCTACTGACACACAGACACAAAAGTGTTCACAGTAACTTTATTCACAATAACCACAAACTGGAAACACCCCAAATTTCCATCAACAGTGGAATGGATTAATAAATTGCGGTATAGTTATACAATGGAATGCCACAGAGAAGTGACAAATGAACTGCTGTTACACATAACAAGGAGGAATCTCATAGACATCATGTTGACCAAAAGAAGACACAGAAGACCTCACATTATATTTATGTGAAGTTTAAAAACAGGCAAAACTAATCCATGGTGACAAAGATCAGAATAGTGATTATCTGTGTGTGGGAAGGGCATAAGAGCACCCACTGGAGTGCTACAGATGTCCTGTATCTTGATCTGGGTGGCGGCTTCAGATGTACAGAAGTTTACTGAGGTGAACACTTGGTACACTTCATTCAATGTTAAGTCTTACCTCAAAAAATATATTGAAATTATAACCCAAAAAAACCAAACCAAACTCACTGCTTTTGAGACGACTTCAACTCACAGTCACCTTATAGAACAGAGTAGAACTTCCCCCATAGGGTTTCCGAGGCAGTAAATCTTTATGGAAGCAGACTGCCACATTTTTCTCCCACGGAGTTTAACCGGTGGGTTCGAACCGCTGACCTTTCGATAAGCAACCGAATGCTTTAACCACTGCGCCAATACCAAACCCACTGCCATCAAGTCAATTCCAACACATAACCGACCCTATAGACAGGGTAGAACTGCTCCATAGTGTTTCCAAGGAGTGCCTGGTGGTTCAAACAGCTGACTTTTTGGTTAGCAGACATAGCTCTTAACCACTGCACCACAAAGGTTTCCTGAAAAGCACAGGTATCTAGAAATTAAGTCCAGAGGGGCATGGGAACAAAAAAGCAAAGAAATATAGCAAAGCCAAGAAGTGTACATTGACTAGATATTACTTTTGAGTCATCTCGTGATGAGGGCATTTTTCCGGTAGGAAGGCAAGTAAACTGATACCTAGTGACCAGAACGTAAATGTACCTACTCTTAAATCCCAGAAAACCCGGAATTCCTATGTAAAGCAAAGTAGTAAGTAAACAGCATGCCACTTTCTCCTAGGGTTGATGCTCACAAAAGGAAAAAGGGATGTTAACTCTTAAGCTGCAATCCTTTTCTGATACTGAATGTAACTTTTTAATTACTTTCAAGTATTGCTGGAGCCCTGGTGGTACAGTCGTTATGAGCTTGGCTGCTAACCAAACGGTCTGCAGTTCAATTCTACCAGCTGCTCCTTGAAAACCCTATGGGGCAGTTCTATTCTACCCTATAGGGTCACTGAGTCAGAACTGACTAGAGGGCAACGGGTTTTTTTATAACTGTCTTAGTTCACTAGTTGTCCAGTCTTTTTTCATCTATATGTTCATTGCTTTAGAAGTCTGCCTTTAGAAATTAAAAAAAATAAACACTTCTATATCATGGAGGTAAACACAATGTTACACAGTGGATTTATGTGCATATAGCTGGGTTAGAATCCTGACTTCACTACTTACTATGTTTACTAGGGCAAATTGCAATGTAAGTCTGTTTCCTCAACAACATTCACATATTTGGACCATATGCCAAATTTTCTGGGAACACGACAATGAGAAAGATAAGGTCCTTGTCAAAAAACTTAATTTCTTAATTTGTAATATGTAGATGATTTCAGTGAACACTGTAAGGCACAGCCACTGTGAAAGTCAAACGAGACTGTGAAAGAGTTTCAAAGATTATAAAACATTACACAAATATTTATTTATCCAAACGTTTATTGAAATGCCAGGCATTGTATTAAACACTAGAGATGTAACAATGAGCAAAGCTTATATGGTCCCTGCAACTATAAAGCTTACAGTCTAGCAGTGATCAACAAGCAGTAACAATAGCATGCTAAGTGTATGGCTGGGAAAGAACAAGGTGTTTAGGGAGTGGATAGTAGGGGTACCTCGTCTAGAGGGCATCAAAGAAAGCTTCATAGAGGAAGTGGCATAGATCTGAAAGATGAACAGAAGTGTGTGTCTTGTCCTAAGAGCAATAGTGAAAGTAGTGGAGTGGTATGAACAGAAATGCCTTTTGGAATATCTGGCTGCAGCATAGAAAGGGATCAAAACCAGAGAAAGGGAGGCTAGTGAGGAAGCTGTTGCTATAATTTAGGTAGGTTGGTGGCGTGGATTAGGCTAGTGGCATTGGACAGCTGAGAGAAATTTAGACAGTGACTAACAGAAAGGTCTTTCTTTGTGACTAGATGTGAAGGATAAAGAAGGAAAAGTCATGGATGACTTGGTTTTTGGCTTGGGCAAGGGCAAGTGAATGAATGTTAGTGCCATTTACTTAAACAGGGAACATGAGAGGAGCAAGTTTGGAGGCAAGATCAATGATAGGTTGAGGTGCCGGGGAGACAGCAAAGTGGACTTGTTAAGTTAGCAGTTAGATATATGAATTAGGAAAGGTCTAGAAAAAAAGCAATGAATTCAGGAGTCATTGGCATACACGTGGTAACTAAAGCCATGGAAGATGAGCTCGGGAGATGATGTAGAATGAGGAGACAGCTTAAAACAAACCAAAAAGTCCCAAGGAACTCAGGCATTTCAGGGAGAGAGGTGCCTCTTAAGAAGACTGAGAAAGCATACCTGAGGACGGCATCTCCTCATAGCTAACGTGAGCAAGTATTTCAAGGATGATGGGCAACAGTGACAAAGGAAGGTAAGGACACTGTCAAAAGAGGGTAAGAACACTGACAAGGATTTGGTAACCTTCATAGAGCTGTTTGAGTGGACATATGGGAGACCTGGAAATATAGACAAATCTTTCAAGCTAGTAGGGTGGGAGAGTCAGGGTATTTTTACTCTACTCACTGATATGACAGGACCAGTAACAACTATATTTATTAAAAAAAAAAAAAAAACTCCCATGCAGTTACAGAATACTTAATACAGAAAACAGTAAAATATACACATTTCTTAACAAGCAAGACAAGTTTATAGCAAATCCTCTATTGTTGAGGGTCAATTTAAAATCCTTTGATTATCCCCTACCCTTCAGCAATGACTATATGATGCAAACTAACTTTATTATTACCTTAAGCAAAACATATACTGGAAGTTCACAAAATGAACAAAACTTCAATATTTGAAGGACTGGGGTTAGAAAGCAGGCAGCTGTCTTTCAATCATTCTTGAAAGAGAATGCTCAAAGCTATTGGGAAATTACCAGTAGATTGTTTTTGATTCTTTTTTACGATGTTGTTTTTCCAGATATTTAAGCTGACTTCGTTGACCAAAATCTCAATTTCACCATTCTTGGTAATACCTAACACTTGTTTTTCTGCTCTAATTATGTATACTAGGATAAAGCTTTTTAACATGATTCAATATCAATTACTGATTTATCAATGCTATTATGAGCTCCTGAAGCCTATCAAGGACTTTACTGCACCCTACTGGTCAAACTCAGAATGTCTGAATTGGTCTCTATCAATTATTCTGGTGGCGCAGTGGTTAAGAGTTCAACTGCTAACCAAAAGGTTGGTAGTTCGAATCCACCAGCTGCTCCTTGGAAACCCTACGGGGCAGCGCTACTCTGTCCTATAGGGTCACTATGAGTCAGAGTCAACTCAATGCTCAATGGCAATGGGTTTGGTTTTTCATCAAGTATTCTGATACTTGCTCTTCTAATTTTACTTCTAGCAGTAATTTGCCCTGTCCCTCAAAATAAGATAATCTCCATTTGGGCCTACTGACATTTCAGGACTGGTAATGCCTAATTGTGTCAGGCTGTCCAATGCACTGCAAGGCGGTGGGGAGGGGAGGGCCTTTAAGTTTAAATGCCAGCAGAACCCTCCAGTAATTATGACAACCAAAAAAATGTCTCTATAGATTCCCCAACATCCTCTGGAGGGAGAGGTTACTGCCTCCAGATGAGAAACACTGGCACAACTTTGGTTCCTGGGCTCTCGCGGCATCTATCTGGACTGCTCAGGGAACTGTTTCCTTCTAGGTTCTTGTTGTATCACGGTTCCTTGAATGTGCTAGATTAGTGATCACATAGTGTTGCAACAGTTACGACAGGACTTTAGCACAATAGTTTTCGAATCGTACGTGAGCATCTATGAATGCAAGTTGGGTCCCGTTATTAAATCAGTTTTACATATTGGGCTTTACTGTATAATTTCCTTTCATGGTTAACATAAGCTTGAAAATTACCGTTTCGGCACAAAGCAGATGTCTTACTGGAAACACAGAACTGCTGTAATCTGTGAATAAGGCTGCTTCTTGGGAGTTAAATACTTCTACTTGTGCACTGTCTTAAATACAGAATGTGTGGGACAATTTCAAATTCAGAATAAATCCATTTCCAGCAGCTGACAAATATATTACATCACTTTAAAATAAAAGATTCCCTTTAAGCAGGATTTCTTTATAAAGCTGTAATACCCAAGCAAATAGGAAATAAGTTAAAATATCTCACATCTCCTGATTCTGGAGTGCAGAAATCTTTTTTCCTCATCCTTTCTGACAGAGCTAACCTTCTGTCTAGAGTAGAAAAAAAGAATTATGAACTGTCAACCCATTAACAGATTCTATACTTACCGCAGTCCTTTAATAGGCGAGCTGATAAAATAGCCCTGATTTTGCCAAGTCCAGGGAAATTCCCCTACGAATGGTTAATCTGAACTCCCAAGCTGCAGGAAGCCTCCTAAACCAGCAACTTAAAAATAATTCTTGCGCCTCTGACTAAAATTGTACTGAATTACTTCCTCTACTAGTAATAACAATAACACTGGGGCTGGGTGGAGGTGAGAGGGAAGAAATCGATCAATATTTAGACTCAGAAATGTTTAAAAAAAAAATAGACTCACACATTTTGATAAAATACCTCCACTGTATGTGAGTTCTTCCTTTCTGGAACCTTCTGAACTTGCTATGTGAGTTGCTGCAAATTGGTTCATATATAGATTTCAGACTGATTGTAACACTTCATTAAATAAGGGCTAAAGCATTTGGCATGTATCTTCAGAACACCTTAAAAACAGACTTTCAACTCCCATTATCAGTACTACCCTTCTTCAAAAACAATTATATCATAAAAGCAAAAGACAACAACTGTCATTAAATTTTAAAAAAGGTGGTGTTCTCATGTTTTAGTCCCATGCTGCTTTTGAGACTGAAAAAAAAAAAAAAAAGGCAACTGTCAGAACGAATCCTGATCAATTTGGACGTCTTGTAATAAACCTTGTGCTTTCCCACAATCCAAATTAGTAAACACGAAAAATCAAGCCACTTTTTGCTTTTAGAATTGAATTCTGATTGAGTTTTTCAATGCTGTACTACAAAGGTTTATGGATTAGATTCATTTCTTCCTCTCACAAGATCATCCCAGTGGGGCTCCATTTCAGTTGTGGCAATCCGAAACAGGGCTTGGAGATGCTCATCTGTCAATGGCTGGCTCAAAGTATGTTGATTTCGAGTCAAATATGAAAAAGCCTTTTCACAGATTTGGCTACTATCAAACAAGGATGCCACCTTACAGGCAACCCCTTTGATAATTGGATAAGAGTCAGCAGACAATCCAGCATAGAACTGCCCCAAATCTTTGATTCTGTATTCATTCCAAAGGTTAGTATTTGACTGAAGTTTCGTTAGCTCCATCCTTATTGAAATAGGTGCATATTCAGGTTTAAAGTTAAACGGATTTGAGAAAAGTTCTAAGTCCTTTTTAATGAATCTAAGGTCCTTGAAATGCCTCTCAAATTCCCTTTGCAAGCGACAGATCACCACTCGATACCTGTCAGGATCAAATATTTTTTGATCATCTTTAAGGTGCTGTTTAAGCTCATCAACAACTTCTCTGAAGGAAGCGAAGTGTGTTAGATTTTCTTCCTCAATGTGTCTCTGAAGTAAATTCAGCTTAACTTCAAAGGTACAAATATGATCAAAGGCAGCAGCAGCGAAGACTTTACTAACTCGCAGTTCTTCACTGAGTTCTCCAAGGTGGTCCATAATATCCACTAAAAAGCCAAAGTCACAAAGCCATTGCTTGTCTGTGAAATGGACTGTGGTAGCCCCTATTGAAACTAAGAATGCCTCTATCTCTTTTCTTACGGAAAAGATTAGTTTTAAAGTTTTCCCTCTTCTAAGCCAATTGTTCAGACATCGTCCATTAACCCTTTCACCATGCTCTGATTCACACTCCGTCAGTAAAGCCTGAAACTCGGGTCGCCTAACACCTCTGGTCTTAATCAAGACTATCCATTCGGATATGGTATTTATGATCTGATTAACATCTACATCGTAGGAGCTCAACAGTTCCAAGTGAAGAAATCCTGAATAATGAATAACATTCCAACAGTTGGGGCTTACAGCCTTTTCTCTCATATATGAGACCAACCCTGAGTTCTCGCCAATCATCCTCAAAGTGTGGGTCGTGGTCAGCCCGACCATTCGCTGCAGGCTGAGCCCTGCTGTCTGCAGGGCCTCTAGGATTGCCGCCATCAGCGCACCAACACTGAAGTGATGAGTCAGATTGACTATGGTAAGAAGCTCTTCTTGCACCTCCAAGTCGTGGCCCACGCCGCGGATAAAGACCAGGAGATAGTTCTCATAGGCCACAAAAGCTTGGTCGTCCAAGGCAAGGGAATAGGCTTTAAAGTCCCTGGCTCGCTTAAAAAGCTGAGCGCGTAGATTCCTGTCAATGCTCCGGACCCTCTGCGCTGTGGTCTCTGGAGATAAATCAATGCCCTCCAGAACGCCTACGTGCTCTGGCAGCGCCTCTCTCAGCATCACCTCCACGCACTGGTACACGAAGTCCCCCTCACCCCAGCCGCGGCCCTTCAAGGCCAGGAGGCGGGCAAGCCCGAGGCCTGCACGGGCAGCCCTCTCCTCCGGGGTCAGCTGGGCGGCCACGGGCAAATCGCCCTGACGCAGACGCTCCACCAGGGCCGCGCGCTCGCCCTCCGCCGCATACCGATCATAGTATTCGTGCTCGGCCTCGTAGTGGCGCCGGACGTCGCGCTCGCGGGTGGCTACGATGAGGCGGCGACACACCAGGCACAGGGCCCCGTTGCCCTCCGGGGCCTCCACCACCAAGTAACACTGGGTCCACTCGGGCCGGAAAACCCGAGACTCGTCGATGTCCATCCTGCTCCTTTTGGGCGTCATCCACATTGTGCGGGAGGACACCAGAGCAGGGCAGACCTCACGGAGGCTGCAGAGACGAAAAAGGCAGACGCGAGGGCCAAGCGCCCTCCTCAGCTCTGCGCCACAGCACCACAGCGCCTCAGCAGCCAGAACCCGCCTCTGGCTACCGCACGTCCGTTCTTATTGGCTGGAGATTCCGTACTCACTGTCGCTCCCAGGGATTAACCAATAGGAAGAGCTGACAGTGATTTCTAACTCTCAAGCGCACAGCCTGCTCACTAGTGGGCCTCTTATCACGCACGTAAGAAACTTGACTGGCATTCAAGCCGTCCAATCAGGAGTTCCGTGGCCCCAGGTTGCCCTCCCGCTGGAGGCTGGAGCAAGAAGGCGTAAGCAGAGGTGGTGGAAATACGTGAATTCGAGACACGAAAGTGATTGGCGGAAGGCACTTCCGGTGAGCATCTCGAAAGACTTGGGCTCTGCTGGCGCCAAAATGTCGTTCGTCGCGGGGGTGATCCGCCGCCTAGACGAGACAGTGGTGAACCGTATTGCGGCGGGAGAAGTTATCCAGCGGCCGGCTAATGCCATCAAGGAGATGATTGAGAACTGGTACAGAAAGGGTCGGGCCGGGCTCCCTTACAGACTACAGAGGCGTGTACTGCGCACGCCCACTGTGGCCGCGAAGTGCCGGGGCCCGCGCGTATCGGCCTTCCACCTCGCCGGTACCGGGTGTTTCTTAGGCGCTCTCGCGAGAGGTTCTCTCTAGCGGTGTTTGGGGTGCAAGTGGAGGAGACGCTTAATGTTGCTTTAGTGATGCCGTTAACTAAGGGAGTTACTTAAATTTGAAACTATGTATGTAGAAGGTGCAAACTGGAAAACGTATAAAAGTTTATGGTGGGAAAGAAAATCTTCCTTGTTCAGAGCATAGCATGTTATCCGTTTCTTATCATTCCAGAAATCGTCAAGACACACATCACATGTACCATCCATTTTGAGTTTTATCCACAATAAATCGTCTGGGTGTTTAGGACAGGCTGATGGACTTTGGGTTTAACTTGTGATTTCTCTATTGCCAAATTAGTGACCCCTCTTAGTGTTTTCCCGCCCTTTACTTTTTGGGGTTCACTCAGAAGACGTCTGATTTTCTAGGGTATCTCGTAGATTCTGACCCTTAAAACCGTCACACAAACAGTGGCGGAAAGAGGTTAAAAACAGGTGGACAGAAAGGTGGATGTGGACCGTAAGCTTCAAAAAGATGCCCAATAATATACCTAAACGTTGTCAGATCGTTTTTCTTAAACTCATTTCATGTTAATAAAGTCCATATATTTGGGGGAAAAAAACGCTCCAACTAAGAGTGACAGATACGTATAAGGATTTATTGTGAAAACATAAACCATCATTCGGGTAATGGGCCTTCAAAGAGCTGTGGGTCAGAGATGAGCAAGGGGAAGGAAAAGGATTAGAAGGTATACAAAAGAAGGAGCAGAGAATATGGGAAGGTCTTCTCTTGTGGTTTATAAAGACGGGCTTTTTTTTTTATTGTAGTTTAAGTGAAAGTTTACAATTCAAGTTAGTCTCTCATACAAAAATTTATACATACGTTGTTATGTGACCCTACTTGCTCTCCCTACACTGTGACAGCACACTCCTTTCCACCCCGGATTTCCCATGTCCATTCAACCAGCTCCTGACCCTCTCTGCCTTCTCATCTCACCTCCAGACAGGAGGTGCCCATTTAGTCTCATGTATCTACTTGAGCTAAGAAGCACACTCTTCACGAGTATCATTTTATGTCCCATGGTCCAGTCTAATCTTTGTCTGAAGAGTTGGACTCGGGAATGGTTTTAGTTCTGGGTTGACAGAGAGTCCGGGGGCCATGCTTTCCGGGGATCCTCCAGTCTCAGTCAGACCATTAAGTTTGGTCTTATAAAGACTGGCTTTTGTTGCTACAGTTTTAGAATTGAGTGACGGAACAAATTGGGCCTACTGTTGTACTGTGCCAGAACAGTGTACAACAAAATATTAGCTCTGTGGCTTATAATTAGTTCTATAGCAGAGATTTTGTATGGAGTCGGGTTAATATAGTAACTGAGGTGGCTAATATAATTGCAGTCAGAGGCTCCGGAGAAAGGTCTTTACTGTTTCAGTAACTTATAGTCGTATTTCTGAATGCAGAATCTTCTGGGGGGGAGTCTACGACTTCTCTTTCTCATGTTGTCGCAGGCTGCATTCATTTCTCTGGCAGGTGCTCTATGCCTGTAGGCTACTCGTGAAAGGTAGAAAAGAGTCATTGATACTTAAAGGACTTTCTGCATTGCCATTTTTCTTTTTCTCTGATGTAAATATACTTTCTTAGAGAAAATAGAAATGAGAAAAACATTTAAAATGTTTTTTATGACATCTTATTAGGAACAGAAAGCTGAAGAAAATTGAGATAACAGATGGCAAAATTAGTTGAGAAGAGGGGAAGAAAAAGGTGTGTGCTAAAATGATCCTGTGTCTGCCTTCACTCTCTTCTTGGAGAGGAACAGAAATAGTGCTGAGTATCCTCTTGGAAATGAAGCTTGCCCTCCTCTGCCCCTGCCTTTCCCTCTGTCACCTGAACTCATACAGCAGAGTCACTGAGCCTGTAAGATGGGGGAAAAACGCATTGATCAGTCTCTCTGTGTTTACCTGTATTGTTATCTCTTGGCTCAGTATCTTCTGGCTCGTATTAAAATTTGTGCATTAGAGTAGTTGCAGGCTGATTATTTTCTCTGTTTGATTTGCCAGTTTAGATGCAAAATCCACAAGTATTCAAGTGGTTGTTAAAGAGGGAGGCCTGAAGCTGATTCAGATCCAAGACAACGGCACTGGGATCAGGGTAAGTACAGCCCTCAGGAAAGCAGGATGTTTGTCTGCTTCACGTGGTGACATCTGCAAGAAGCAGCAGCCTCTATTCTGGAAACTAGGGTTTTGCAGATGGGAATTTTTTTTTTTTTTTTTTTTTACTGAAAAATCCAATACCAACAATAAATGTTTATTGAGTAATTGTTCTCTCCTGGACACCAGTTCAGGGGATGTGACAGTGAATAAAACAGACAAAAATCCTTCCTCTTCTGGTGCTTACATTCTAGAGGTGGAGGACAAACAAACAAATTGTTGTTAGGTGCCATCCAGTCAATTTTCGACTCATCACAACCCCATGTGACAGAGTAGAACTGCCCCAGGGGGTTTTCTAGGCTGTAATCTGTATGGAAGCGGATGGCCAGGTCTTTCTCCCGTGGAGCCGCTGGGTGGTTTCACACTGACAACCGTTCGGTCAGTGCAGTAAGCACTATGTCAGATGGTGTTAAGTGCTATGGAGAGGACAAGCAGAGGGAGGATGGGGAGCTCCGGGTGGGAAGGGCCACGGCTTAAATTGGGTGGTTCAGGGAGGGCTTCTCTTCGGATGTGACATTTGAGGACAGACCCGGTGGAGGTCCGGGAGTGAGTCATGAGGCTATTTAAAGGATGCGTGTTCCAGGGAGAGAGAAGACAGAACGGAAGCATGCCTGGTAGGTCTGAGGACCAGGGAGGCCAGTGCGTCTGCAGCAGGATGGGCAAAGGAAGAGTAACAGGAGCTGAAGCCCGAGAGTGAAGTAGGCAGATCATGTAGGAGCTCGTGAGCCTTTATAAAATCTTCGGCTTTTACTTTAAACAGAGGGTGTTGAATGAAGAAGGACGATTTTGATGAGTTGTAGAGGAACACTTTGTCCACCGTGTGGAAAGTGGACTGTAGATGGACAGGGCAGAAGCGGCGAGGGGCTCCTGCAGCAGCCCACGGGAGTCGTGGCGCCCCGGGTCAGCTGGGCCACAGCAGACATGTCAGAGACAGTGAGGTTCTGGTCTGATAGTGAAGGCAGAGCTCGAAGGATTTGCTGATGTGGCGTGTGACGGTGTCTTAGTTTCCTAATGAGGCTGTAACACAAGTTCCACAAGCGGGTGGCCTTGAAAGGAGAGAAGTTTATTTTCTCGCTGTTCAGGAGGCTGGAAGTTCAAAGTCAGGGCACAGGCCCTAGAGGAAGATCCTTGTGCCAGCTTCTGTAGCCCCAGCGGTCCCTGGGTCCTTGGTGATCCTCATACGCGCTTCTGTAGTACTAGGTTGTCTCTGTGTCTAATCTGCTCCTTCTGCGACTCAGAAGGAATGAGGTTTAGGACACATCCTACGCTAATATGGCCTCCTTAACATAGCAGAGAAAACCCTGTTTCCCAATAGGATCACATCCACAAGTGTAGAGGCCAAGACTCCAACGCATGTTTTGGAGGGACAGTTCAATCCATAAAAGAAGGAATGAGGAGGCAAGAATGCTTTCAAGGTTTTGGTCTGGGCCCATGGAAAGAATATTTGCTGTTTACTGAGATGGGAAAACAGGCGTGGGGGAGGATTAGACGTTCAAGTTGGCTCCTGTTAAATTTATGATGCCTTTTAGCAGGATGTGCATGTGAGTCTGGACTACTGGCTCGAGGTCCAGGCTGGAGATAAAAATTTGGGAGTTGTCTGCATGTTGATGGTATGAAAAGCCACGAGACTGGATAAGATCAGTGAGTGTTGATAGAGAAGAGGCCCGAGGATGGAGCTGCAGGTTCCTCCAGAGTTGGAGGTCGGGGAGATGAGGCAGAACCGGCAAACGAGACTGGACAGGAGAAACCCAGTGACCAAGGAGGAGGACCAGGACAACGGGGTGTTCTGGATGCCGAGTGAGGAAGTTACTGCTGATTCACCCAGGGGGAATGTCTTCCTGAATTAAATCAAGAAAAGGGAAATCCACAGGTTTGAAGAATGAGTAATGTAACTATTATTTTTTTTTTAACCTTCTAGAAGGAAGACCTGGACATTGTGTGTGAGAGGTTCACCACAAGTAAACTGAAGTCCTTTGAGGATTTAGCCAGTATTTCTACCTATGGCTTTCGGGGTGAGGTAAGCTGAGGATTAAGGAAGGTGTCAAATACCCTTCTTAATGACGTCTGCCATTTGGCAACAAATGTTTCTCAACAGACCTAAAGAAGAAATGATAATTTTTACTTGTAAATATGTACACATCTGAACAAAGTTAATTAAATTCAGTTTTCCAAGAGTGAGAGTTGTTCATAAATACTTAATGCACCATAAACTATTTTGTGTACAGAGACCTACAAACAGTTGTGTGTCTCTTGATGGACATATGCCGCAACACCCCCAAAGGTTTCTTGTCAAAAAAGCAAATGTGAATCTGATGAATACTTAGATCTGAGTACCGGTACGGAAACGTAGGGGCGAGGGAGCACAGGGAAATGACGCCGCAGGGATGCTGTCAGCAAGATGCGGGCTTGGGAGCACAGGACAAAAGCCTTGTTTCCTTCAATAGATAAACTGCAAGGGGGAGGAAAAACGGAGAGACAGAGTTCAGGAACCTCTAGGTTGAGAGCGACTTAAAGAGGCACGTGAACCAGGTCCAACGTACAGATTTTACTGGGATCCTGAGATGAACAAACTGTAAAAACAAAATGTTCTGGAGATGATCAGAGATGTTTGAACACAGACTGGCTATTTGATGGTATTGAGGAGAAATTATTTTTAATTTTTTTGGTATAAAAATAGTATCACAGGTCATCATCTTTCAGAAATAAATACTGAAATATGTATGGATGAAATTATATGATGGATCTTAGGAATATATGATAAAGAAAATAGCTGAAAATTTTAGGACTGAAATAGGATTATATACTGATACCACTTAATACCTTGTGGATATCTCTTTTTTCATTAAATATAGACCTAGATAATTTTTTAATGGCTACATACTGTTCTGTTCCATGTACGTACTGTAATTTATTTAAATGGCTTCATGTTGAACATTTTTACGTTCTTTGCCATTTTTTCCTGTTCAGTGCTCTGATAAATATTCTTGTACATAGTGCTTCGTTCAGTTATTTCCTTAGGAAATAAGTATAGTTTTTTAATGTTTACCATGCGTATATAATACTTTTATTTAATAAAAAAAAAAAATTAAAAGGCAGCTACGACACAATCTCTGTGATTTAGACCAAACCAGGGCGATCTCAAGCATCCTGTGGCTCACAGTGCCCCCCAGATTGTTCCAGGTGGGGGCAGTTTCACAGAAGCTGTTTACTGCAAGGCTGTGCCTGATGTTAGCATGCCTCAGGTCAGGCCCTAGGAAAGCAGTTCTGTTCTGGCTTTGCAACTCCCTCAGTCAGTGTCCAAGCCCACGGCCTGCTGGAACCTTCACCTAGCAGTAGGGCATCCTTGGGGTTTATTGTTTGATTGTAATCTTACAGGGAAGATTTATCGAGGGTCTTCTGTGTGCCAGCTGTGCTGCTCAGCACGTTGTATCTGTGAATTCTTTCACCCCTGACGGCAGTCCTGCAGAGGACGTTTGACTCTTACCCTGTGTTTCGGGTGAGGAAACTGGCGCAGAGAGACTAGGAAACATGGCCAGGGCCCACAGCCAGAAAGTGGCAGAGTGGGGAATTGAACCCGGGCAGTTTGACTCCAGTCTGCCCTGCCCACTGGCTCCGCTGCTGGTGCGGCTCCACGGCAGGACCACGTCCACTCATCTGCTGATGGCACTTAGGCTGTGCCGCCTTGTGGCTATTGTGAGTGGTGCTGCGGTGAACTCTGATGTACAATTCCAGAAGTCTCTGCTTTCAAGTCTTTTGGGCATATACCCAGGACTGGAATTGCTGGGTCATATGGTAGTTCTAGTTTTAGTTTTTTGAGGTACCGCCACACTGTTTTCTGCAATGGCTATACCATTTCGCATTCCCACCAGCGATGGGTAAGGGTTCTGATTTCCCCACATCCTCGCCAACATTTGTTGTTTTCTCTTTTTCTCTTTTATCTTAGCCATCCTAGTGGAGTGAAATGGTATCTCATTGTGGTTTTGATTTGCATCTCTCTGATAGCTAACGACCATGAGCATCTTTTCATGTGCTTGGTGGCCATTTGAATGTCCTCTTTAGTGAATGTCCGTTCAAGTCCTTTGCCCATTTTATGATTGGGTTATTTGTCTTTTTGTTGTTAAGGTATCAAAATGTTAATCTATTTTGATTATTAGGTTTTCATGGGATATATCGTTTCCAAAGATATTCTTCTGGTTGGTAGCTTGTCTTTTCACTTTTTTGGTCAAGCGTTTTGATGAGCAGAAGTTTTTAATTTTTATGAGGTCCCACTTACATATTTTGTCTTTGGCTGTTGGTGCTTTTGTTATTATATTAGAAAATCCATTGTTCAAAGCTAGGCCTGACAGCGTTGTCCCTGCTTTCTTTCTAAGAATTTTATGATTTTAGTTTGCACGTTTAGGTCCTTAATCCATTTTGAATTTGTTTTTGTGTATGGTGTGAGGCATGGGTCCTGTTTCATATTTCTGCATGTGGAAATCCAATTTTCCCAGCACCATTTATTGAAGAGACTTTTCTTTCCTCATCAGATGGACTGAGCACCCTTGTCAAAGATCAGTTGACCACAGATGTGTGGGCTTGTTTCCAAACTCTGAATTCTGTTCCATTGGTCTGTGTGTCATTTGTTATAGCCATACCAGGCTGTTGTGATTACTGTAGCTGTAGAGTAGGTTTTAAAATCAGCAAGTGTGAGTCCTCCTGCTTTGTTCTTTTCTTTCAGCGTTGCTTTACTTATTCAGAGCCTCTTGTCCGTCCATATAAAGTTGAGGATTGATTTTTCTATTTCTGTAAAGAAGGCTGTTGGAATTTTGATCAGGATTGCGTTGAATCTATAGATTGCTTTGGGTAGTATTGACATCTTAACAATATTAAGTCTTCCGATTCATGAACATGGAACATCTGTCCATTTATTTAAGTCTTTTTTCATCTCTTTCAACAGTGTTTCATAGTTTTCATTATTTTATTAGCTACATTATTCAATCATCAATGAATGTTTATTAGATATCGCAAATATGTTACTAAACAAAACAGCATAAAATTATTCTCATGAAGCTTACATGCTATCGGGTATAAATGAGTAGCTATGTAGCAGGTGCTATGGAGAAAGTTAAAGCAGGCTAGGAGGGGGTGGAGGTCCTAGGAGTGGGTAGGGATTGCAATTTCAAACACCGTAATCAAGGAGGACCTCACAGATAAGCTAATAATGAAGTTTGTGTGATATGTGAATACCTGGGGAGAAAAACGTTCCAGGTAAAGGGGCGAGCAGGTGCAAAGATCTTGAGGCAGGAATATGCCTGCCACGGTCTGAAGGATGAAAGACAAGGCCAGCATGGCTGCAGTGGTTGGGTGAGAGTGTGAGGGATAGGAGGTGAGGCCAGAGAGGAGGGCAGAACGCATCAGGCCTCACAGGCCGTGGGAGGGGCTTTGGCCTGACTGCCTTCCATTTTAAAAGGATTGCTCTAGCTGCGGGGTGCAGAATAGACTAGGGGAGGCAGAGACGGAAGCAAGGGGACCGGTTGTGGAGCTGTTGGAGTAATCCAGGCGAGCGATCCTGGTGGCTTGCCCAGGACAGCAGCAGTGGAAGTGGCAGGAAGTAGTCGGGGTTCCAGACGCATAGCGAAGAGAAGCCTTGAGGATTCGCGGACGGAGCGCGTGGGGGAAAAGGGGTCAAGCGTGATGTCCACTTGGTGTGGACAGCTGGAAGAAGGGATTCTGTTTCTTGTGATAGAGCAGACTGCAGAAGGAGAAAGTTTGGGAGAGGGAGCCCAGGATCTGGCGTGGGACATACTGAGCTTGGAATGATGGGTTAGTAGTTGTCGTCCAGCGCCAGATAAAGGTGTGTTTGTGTGTATGCCATTTTCTGCGTGACCATTTCTGACTATAAATGCTCACAAGGCATGCAGGTTGTCTGCAAGTGTCTTGATTCTTCCTTCTTTTTTCTTTGTTATTATAAATAAATAATAAAAGAATGTCTTTACCACTTATATTTGATTCTGGAATGTTTATATTTGAAGGATAATATGTCTGGAGTTTTGGAGTTTGGATTTCACTCCAAATGAAATAATGGTTATACTCTAAAATCTTACAGGAACTAAGAAAACGTGTGTTTTTTCCATCTTGATCCATACGTAAACCATTTAAATTGTGCACCATTGAAAAGTGGAGAAAGCTGCTGCCTGAAGTTGGGCTGCGTGCTTCCATTCTTTCCCTAGGGCAGGGCTGGGGACAGGTGTTTGGTTTTGAAACAGTTGCAGGGCTTGCTGAAATTAAACCTTCCGAAGGAGAAGCATAAAGCGAGAACCCTGTGTCAGCCAGCTGAGTGAGCAGAGTGCTAACACAGAATGGAAGAGGCGATGCAGGTGGCCTTTTCCTTTGTGAGACGGCCGTGGGTGACCTAGCTGTGAGTTCTTCTAAGCAAGTTCCTTCTTTTGCTTTAGGCTTTGGCCAGCATTAGCCACGTGGCTCACGTTACTATTACAACCAAAACAGCCGATGGAAAATGCGCATTCAGGTATTGTGCTGACCTTTTCATTCTGATACATTCAACCTGTAACGGGCTTTCTGCCTGGATCTCAGGGTAATCCTGTCGAAACACCAGTTTTATCCTTTTGGGCTGGAATCTCGGGCAAGTTTTCTTCCTCCTGGGGATTAGTAGATAATCCACAGGGATGAGGATCAAGTGATAGTCCTACTTCGTGGATTCTTAAAAGATAACAGTGAACGCAAGTGCCTTACCAGGGGCCTGGTACACGTGCGTGTTGGAAGGAACGGTAGCTGCTGCTGGTATTTCTGCCCCTTCACCCTTCATTAGGGTGTCGCTTTGGGCTGATTATAGGCCCTGTGGCTGGGCTGTCAAGGGCTCATGGTCTCATTGCTGACTCCTGAGCCCCCAGCTTCATGCCCCATGTCCATGCCTGGGCTGGCTCACCCTCCCACAGGGACTGTTGACTGTCTGCTGGGCTGGCTGTCCTTCCCACGGGGGCTGCTGGCTGTCTCCTAGGCTGGCTGTCCTTCCCACAGTGGGCTGCTGGCTGTCTGCTGGGGTGGCTGTCCTTCCCACAAGGGGCTGCTGGCTGTCTGCTGGGCTGGCTGTCCTTCCCACGGGGGCTGCTGGCTGTTTCCTGGGGTGGTTCTCCTTCCCACAGGGGCTGCTGGCTGTCTCCTGGGCTGGCTGTCCTTCCCACAAGGGGCTGCTGGCTGTCTGCTGGGGTGGCTGTCCTTCCCACAGGGGGCTGCTGGCTGTCCTTCCCACGGGGGGCTGCTGGCTGTCCTTCCCATGGGGGCTGCTGGCTGTCTGCTGGGCTAGAGCAGTTTTCATAGGCTGATGAATGGCCTTGGAATGGAACAAAAACCAGGATTTAAGGAATCAAAATGCACTTTTATTTCTATAATCACTGACCAAGAGTACCTACATTCATGCCAAAAATGAGAAAGGTATTTCTTATCATACAGATAGTTTGTAAATCAAGACAGGAAATTGTTTCAACAAGGGCAGTTGGGCCTGCTTCTCAGCCTCCTTCAGGAAAGTGTGGATTTGTGGGAGGTGGAGCATTTCACAGCATGCAGTCCTGATGCCGAGGGAGCTTGATTCTCTGTGAATTAGAATTGTCCTAGGATCTGGGTGTTAGAATCCCCTCTCACAAACTGGGGAGACAGTTGTGAGTCAACATCTTTTTTTTGTAATCTGTTTTTAAGTTTTTATATTGAAGTAAGTATAGATTCACAAGAATTTGCAAAAACAGTGCAGAGGGGCTGTTTACTTTTCACCCATTTTCCACCAAAGGAAGATAAGATTTTACGTACTTATGTCAAAATAGGAAAATGGATACTGGTATGATGTGTGTGTGGCTCTGTGTCATTTTATCACATGGGTGAATTCCTGTACCTGTCACTGCAGTCAGGACACGCGTCCCTATTCCGTCACCTCAGGGACTTAACGCACGCCGACCCCGCCACCGCACGCTGCCGGTATTCAGCCTCCCACAGCTGCTGTAACAAATTCCCACACGCTGGGTGTCTTAAGACAACAGAAGTTTACTCTTTCGAAGTTCAGGAGTACTGTTCTCATACAGCCTGGGGCACAGGTTGGGTTTCTTCACCTCTGGGTTGTGTTTCAACTGCTCAGGACTTTCAGTGCCCCCTCCTCTCCCCCTCTGGGAGGGTGAACTCCAACTTGTCATCACGGCCTTCAGGGCCTCCCCGTGTGCTCCCAGTCTCCCATGCTGCCACTTCTGTCCAGTCAGTCACAGCTGCCACGTGGTATAGAGGATCCCTGGTGGCACGGTGGTTAAGAGCTCAGCTGCTAACCAAAAGGTCGGCTGTTGGAATCCCCCAGCCGCTCCTTGGAGACTCTATGGGGCAGTTCTGCTCTGTCCTGTAGGGTCACTATGAGTCAGAATCAATTCGACGGCAACCAGTTTGGTTTGGTTTTTACGTATTCTAGAGCACCTATCCTTTGTTATGGTTTTTTCCTTCCTGGGTGCTGTTTCCTGCCCTCTGCACCTGAAGCTGTCCTTCCCTGAAGCCCAGCTGGGTGAATTAAGCTTTTACCCACCGTAGGCTGAATGCATCCTTTTCTCTTAGCACGTTATCTATCCTACACTTGAGGTAAAAAGTCTGCCTCTTTGCTAGATTTCCAAAGCCTTTCTTTATCACCAGGCCTCCACGGGCCTGAGGCGTGGAGCCCCTCAGTAAGTGATTGCAGAAACAATGAAAAAAATTCACTGTTATCTTAGGCTATTGTTTGGTAGCTCAGAACTCAGGAATTAAAACTAACATTTGCTAGCCATAAGGAACAAGGATTTTTTTTGTGTACAAGTAGAATGAAAGTTATGGCATTAGTTGGAAAATCAAGGAAAAGATAGTAATTAATCAAGACAGAATATAACGTGGCTTTATTTTAATCTGTTGTTGGTATTTATTTTTTACCCTTTGGGTAAGTGTCTGTCTGTGTTTCTGTTGGATATTAACACCTTCTTGCATTTTCCGGTTAGGGCAAGTTACGCAGATGGAAAGCTGAAAGCACCTCCTAAACCCTGTGCAGGCAATCAGGGGACCCAGATCACGGTAAGAACAGCACATGGGACTGTAAGTCTTTGAAAAAGAACATTGTGTAAATACTGAAATAAAAAATAAAATTTTCTCTGAGTTTTCAGTGTAAGAATGTGTTTTTACCAGTTAATAGAAGCTCCAGGATGTTACCCTCTAAGCAAAAGAAAGGATTTTGGGCCTTTGTGGCGTGACAGCCTGTCCACTCCCTCGTCATTTTTTAAGGGTCTGGGGGACTCTCTTACCGGGGGGGACAGAAATCAGTCGAGGGTGGCTGGCATTGAAAGGATATTCAGCTTGGCTCCAGAAGATAGGGGTTAGAGTCCCAGCCCTGCCACTCAGCGGTCATGCATCCAGAGGCAAGTCACTTCACTTTCCTTAACCTAGTTAGATGTGCTCAGCTGTCACATGGAGCAGAGAGTATCTACTCGCCTGCCTCAGAGGCTGTTTGCTGAGTAATGTGATGGCATCATTAACTGGGAGGAAGCTCGTCATACTGCCTTGTTTCTGTGGTCTTCACTCTGGGATCCCACAGAGCACCCCACTGTTGTGTTCCGCATCCCAGCCCTCAGCCCCCAGTGCCCCAGCTAGAGCACACCTCGAAGGCCATCTTTGCCCTGTCCCACCCCTGGGCCTGATGAGGCAGGCAGGAGGCAGAAATGAGTGTGTGCTAAGAAGGATCTTATACCAGGGTGACCGTGGTGTGATTTCCAAGAACCCACATCACCTCAGAAATTTTATCGTCTTACTTTGAAAGATATCTTTGACTGCCATGTGATATCATAGAAATTTACATGTTCACCTCACTAAACAATAAACCCTCATTGGCAAGATTGTGCTGTACCTTCTTCTGAGCACAAAGCAGAGAGCCGGACATGGAGGTAACCAGTTGCCATCGAGTTCCTTCCGACTCATGGCGACCCTGTGCGTTTCAGAGTACAGCTGTACTCTATGGGGTTTTCATCGGCTGTAATCTTGCAGTAGCAGATGCATAGGCCTTTCTTCCTAGGCACCTCTGGGGGATCCGAACCGCCAGCCTTTTGGTTAGTAGTCGAGTGCTTAGCTGTTTGCACCACCCAGGAACTCCCGACATAGAGATAGCCCCCAGTAAATACTTGAGGAATTAATGAATGAATGTTGGAGGCAGGAAGAATATCCTTTAATCCCTTCATCAGTGCTGCACTGTCTGTCGCCCCCTCCCGGATCAGTGCTTACAACTGTGCCCTTGATAAACATGACTGGATTCTTCCCTTGCCTTACGACCCAACTTTAGGTGGACAGTTTGGGTCTTTACTTCCATGTACTTCTGTGAATTTACAAGAAAAATTAATCTTCTGTCCAGGTGGAGGACCTTTTTTACAACATAGCCACGAGGAGGAAAGCTTTAAAAAATCCAAGTGAAGAGTATGGGAAAATTGTGGAAGTTGTTGGCAGGTACGGTCCAGCATCTGGGAGTGGGTCTCAGAAATCTCTCACCAGATGTGTTCCGGTGCTTGGTAATCGAAAGTGATCGCCGAGCTCAGTGGAGACCAGCAATACCAAAACCCAAGCCCACTGCTGCCGAGTCGATTGCAACTCGTAGCGACCCTGTAGGACAGAGTAAATCTGCCGCAAAGGGTTTCCAAGGAGCGGATGGTGGATTGGAACTGCCAGCCTTTTGGTTAGCAGCCATAGCTCTTAACCACTGCGCCACCAGGGCTCCAGAGTCTAGTCACCAACCCATAAAAGCCAAAAAGAACCCTATTTTTTGTTTGATTCAGTCACATTTAGCATCATTATCTCCATGAAGTCTCTGTTAGTTATTTTCCTATGGGCAAAATATGACGTATCGAGATGTTTTTGTTTGTATACATCTTTGTTTAAATCACTCAACTCCACCAATTCGTTTAACTAAAAGGGGCTGTCACATGTATTGTTCATTTGAGCCTTCTCTACTTACTGGTTTTTTTTTTTTTTTCCTCACCCAGGTATTCAATACACAATTCAGGCATTAGTTTCTCAGTCAAAAAAGTAAGTTCTTGATTTATAGAGGGTGGCTTTGCATTGTGAAAAGAAAGAGGGAGATTACTATAGCTTGTCTGTGGAGATAAGTTTATGATGTTCTAAATGCAGCTGTGAACCGTGATATCTTCTGTTCTGTTTATCAGCAAGGTGAGACAGTGGCTGACGTTAGAACACTTCCCAACGCCACCACCGTGGACAACATTCGATCCATCTTTGGAAATGCTGTTAGTCGGTATGTTGATAGCCTCTGTAAAAACCTCTCGCATTCCATGTCTTGGTTTATCATTTCATTGCGTTGTGTTGGAATCTGTCAAGGTAGCACATCCTTGAGAGTTAGCTTTAATCAAATGTGCAGGCTTGTTGTCATGCTTCAGATTTGTCAGTGGAGTCTTTATTCCATGTAATTGACATTTCCTGAGTCCTTGAGACATGTTATCTGGGTGCAAGTTATCTCCTAGAGGCTCAAACCCATTGCCATCAAGTCGATTCCAACCCATAGTGACCCTATAGGACAGATGGAACTGTCCGTAGGGTTTCCAAGGAGCAGCTGGTGGACTTGAACTGCCGACCTTTTGGTTAGCAGCCGTAGCTCTCAACCACTGTTCTACTAGGGCTTCCCTATAAGCTCAGGGGGCTGTAAATCAATATGTTCTCTCTAGATCTTTGTCTTCAGAATGTTTCTAGTCTAGTAGAGTTCTGTCATCCTCTAATGCCCCCATTTCCCACACGCTTGACAGCAGCAGCAGCTGTCTCAGAATCCAGTCTCCTTTGAAGGACAAAGTATTCAGTGTTTACGCAAAAACATGTCTAATCAGGGAACGGCCAGTTTGCTTTTAATTACACTCTTCTTTCTAAGTGTTAGTGGATTATTTATGATTTTTTTAACCGTGCCCTTAGAGCAAAGGGAGAGCTTTATTCTACAGCAGACGTGAGGAGCTTCTCCACTACATTTTTACAAGTCTTAGAATTACTTGTTAAGGAATTCTTCCTAGCGACTGTAAGAAATTAGAAATGCCTTGGAGCACCATTCCCCAGAGTGTGTTTTCAGAACGCCGGCCTCTTGAGATGCTTTGGGAAGGAAGGTTTGGGGATTCAGTGTATGTGGGAACCCTGCAAGCTGGACCCTCCGCTCAGAGATTCACGCACACATCACTGCATGAAAATCTCCCACCACCCATTCAGCAAACGCGTACTGAGGGTCTGCTCTTTACCAGGCGCTGTGCTGTATGGTGGGGATATGGTGGTGAACAAAGACGAAATGATTCCTACCCTCAGAGAACTCATATTCTAGTTAGAAAGATACATTAGATAATCATGCCCTTCGTTAGCTGGTTGTGCCAGATGCTTCAGAGGAAAAATACAGGGCACAAAGGGAAAATCTCTTAGGAGCATAGTCAGAGAAGCCTGTTTGAGGATGTGCTCCCTGAGATGTGAGGGATGAGGAGGAATTATCTCGCTGAAGACGGGTGGCGGAAGAGCTTCCCAGGCAGAGGGAGCAGCACTCAGAGAGGCCCTGAAGCGAGAAAGTGTGGCTTGTCTATGGGCCTCCTTTTCACCTGTTTACCTCGCCTTCCCCCATAAACACACACTGGGGGACCTCACAGTGGAGTGCCATTATGGTGCTTTTCAGTACATTCAGGAGTTCAGGAGAAGTGACTTCTTCTTAGGACCTTATCTTTGGTTTAGGTTGCTAACATAATACAGGTCTCAATAAAATAAGGACCCAGAGCTTGGACTTGCTGTTATATCCCAACAGTTCAGGAAATGCCTGGCCAGTAGCATAAGTGCTTGAAAACACTGACTAGATGGGTGAATGTGTGGGTTGGTGGGGCATGGATGGATGGATGGATGGGTAGGTGAGGCATGGATGGATGGATGGATGGATGGATGGTTGAGGGGGTGGGTGGGT